CTCTGACCTCTATACATGGGCCACAGCACAGCATAAATATACCTGCACTCACCCACAGACAGACAGACAGATGCACACACACACAATACACATACATAGCCCAAAAATAGATTTTTAAAACATAGGTGGTTCACACTCAGTTATTATTCAAAAAGGATAGGATTCAAATGTTTGTGGCAGATAATACCAACCACATACTGACTCTAGGACACCAGCCTCATTGTAGCTCAAGGCCAACACCGACAAGTACCACTTATTTTTTCAACTCTGTAGATGAATTGCACCAGATGAGTGTGAATGTGCAGCTGAAGATAATCAGAATCCTCCGAGGGAACTATCAGATAAAAAAGAAACAAAGTAAAATAACAGGCTATCCACATTTGCTAGGCTCTCTGTTAATGTAAAATTGCAGGAATCATGAGAATTACCCAAGTCCTCCCTGCCCAGCCAGCACAGACATATGCATCTGGGTCCAGCATTCTGTACTGAAGAAGCAATCAGTCATTTATTGGATGAATAGATTGATCACTTCTAGGCCCACAGGACTGTGCCTGATTTGTCTGCTACTGACAAATGACTCCTTGCTGTTAATCTGGCTTCACTATCTGGCCCATCCATCCATGCATGTTCATTCAGCAAATCCCCCTTGTCAGGATCCCAGGAAGTTAGAATAGAAGCATGCAGAGCAAACCTAGCCTACACTCTCACTAAATCTGCAAAACAGCATCCTTAGAGCCTTTTGAGGATGAGCAGGGACCCTCTTTCGGGTCCTAACTGGCCTAGGCAGCCACACATGTTGAAAAACTTCATATTCAAACATATTCAAGGCCCAGTCTCCTCTTGAGCCTTTCTGGTCCTATCCTATCCACAGCTGCCTGAGATTCCAGGAGATACTGTTCAGTAACTCTATAGGAGATACTTAAACTACAGCCCTGCATGAATGTTGCTGCAGATGTCAATACAGACATGTTGGTTGTTACCTTTCTTTTCATGAAGTTTCATGGGGAACTTGGTAGCAGGTGCAACTTTGCTATAAAATTGTTCTTCGAAATCAATGAAGTATTATTATGCTGAGTTCTCTCTCTCTCTCTCTCTCTCTCTCTCTCTCTCTCTCTCTCTCTCTCTCTCTCTCTCTCTCTCTCTCTCTCTCTCTCTCTCTCTCTCTCTCTCTCTCTCTCTCTCTCTCTCTCTCTCTGTGTGTGTGTGTGTGTGTGTCTGTGTGTGTGTGTGTGTGTGCTTGTGTGTGTGCTTGTGTGTGTGTGTGCTTGTGTGTGTGTGTGTGTACATGCAGCATAGGGAAAAACAAGCCATTGTGGTCTGGCTCATACTTACAAAAAAAGTCAGTGGGTGGGACTATGGTGGATTCAATAACTTCCAAACCAGATTTTCAAGAGCACAGATCAAAACTCCAAGAATTGGTTAGGTCCAACAGAAACCTACTTCTCCAACCATCTTCCTGATTTTATATTGTAACTGTTGCAGGGCTTTTTGCTGCCAGGATGTGATGATGCCTTGCTGCTTAGGAGACTGGCTCTTATCTGAGATAGTTCTGCCACCTACAGCACACAGCCCTGCAAAGCCATCAAATCAGCATAGCAGACTTGATGGCTTATCTGCATACATGAATAAAGGGGTGGGGCTGCCTTTCCAGCCTAGGACCTCTTCACTGTTGAGAAAGGGCTCTGGGGATTCTTGATTAGCATGCAGAGATATTTCAGTGATAGAAAGATATTTTCGTATTAAAATGGAAGAGAGATTTTAAGAATTAGCTTCTGAAACAAAAATCCCAACATCCAGAGAGGAGAGTATGTGTAGCTTTCCCAACCCATACCTTGCTTGATGCTGGTCTCCCTTCCTGGGTCCAAGCAGGTCATCTTTGTCATCCAGCCTGTCATGTAATGAAAAACAGTTTTGTCAAAATGAGGTGATTTCCTGAGACACTTGAACTGTGAACCAAGGGTAGATTTCTTAATCTGTTTAAATCATTTCTAAGGGGACAATATGTCCCCGGAGGTCAGAAGGTTATTTTCACTTTTTTGTGTCCCCAACACAAAAGCCTAGTTCCTGACAGCTGAGTGTGAAGCTCACCAGATGTGTGTTGATGTCAAGAAATGAAGTGTGGTGTTCACTGTCTGTGCTTCCTAACAATCATGTCACAACATTGGCTGCACGGAATGCTTGTGTGTGAGACACATTGCCTCAAATTCTCTCAGTCCAAGGTGGGTATCTGTTTTGCAGATGAAATTGAAACCCTGAGCTATCCTGCAGTGTGTTGAGGATAGACACCTGGTGACAGTCAGGTTCCATACTGAAATGTACCAGTGTGTTCCACTCACCTGTATCTTTTATAGCCATCATGATTGCATGCACAACAAAAAGCAATGAATTAAAAGAAAATAATTGGAAAACTCCTTTTTATTTCTTTTTGTTAAAAAAAATCACAAAAAAACAAACAAACAAAAAAACACAACTGTTTCCCAGTCCCTGGCATTTCTCTGGAAGTTTTTCTTGCCATAATCATGACTGCAAACATCTCTGGGTCTTCCTGAGTGTGACCTGGCCCTGCTCTGAGTGGTGACTGGTTTTCAGATCTGCCAGGAGAGACCATGTAGCATCTTTCCCAGCAAGTGTTCTGCATATCCTTTGAATCCAAACAAAGAATTCTTAGCAGGAAAATGCACACATAGAGCCCTCACCATGTTGGGACACAGAGTTAATTGTATGATAATTCTATCCCTTTTGCTAATTTCTTTTTACTGGCATTTTAGATCTCAAAGGGGACCTAAACTAAGTATGAAGATCTGCTAGACTAAAGATCTAACAACTAAATCCAGGTCATATTACTTTGGGGATCTATAATGTTGGTTACCCAAGGACCAGGAGAGAGGTTTTGTCATTCCTGTGCTATACATTGTATGTGTGTTACTCAGGCTTCAAAATTTCCCTTCTTGGGGCTGGAGAGATGGTTGAGTGTTAAGAGTATTAGATATTCTTCCAAAGGACCCAGGTTCAATTCCCAGCACCTACACGCCTGTTCACAACTTTCAGTAATTCCTGTTCCAGGGGATCTGACACCCTCACACAGACATGCAGACAAAACCCTAATGTACATTAGGTAAATAAATACTTTTTAAAATTTTTGGACAATCTCCCTTCTTCAGAAGAAACTGAAAGACATTTATAGAAGACCTTTTAAGTGGGGTTAGTGGATTTAGCAAATCTGCCTTTAACGAGTAAAGTCTTTCTAGGCATAGTGCATCTTGGTCCTGCTTAGAGTAGGGGAGGGAACTTGGGAAGTTGGAGGAAGTGAGGAAGGAATGCACAGAAACTGTAAACATGGCAGAGTATCAGTTTCCCTTGGGGAGCCTAGAATCTGTGGGGCAGAGTACCTGAAATTCTAGTAGTAAGTTATAGAATATGCACATAAGGTTTTTTTTTTTTAATGTGTATTTGGGGCCACACGTGCAGACTCTGTGAGGAGAAGGGGATGAACATCAAAGTCTATGTTTTCAGAGGTCAGACCATGTGGTTCTGATGGAAGCATGCCTTAGACTACTTGTTGGGCCTGGAACTGTCTTGTTGTCTTTCTAAGAATTACTACATAAAAGCATCTGTTCATCGGAGCCAGTACTGGGACCTGGAGGTAAAAAGCGAAGTGTCAGCATTCCAAGAATCTATGCCCTAGTGGAAAAGAGACTTGGAAGCATGGGGCTGCAGAGGCAGCTTAAGTCTGTGAAGCAAGCAGAAAGGGCTGGATGCAGTGGGAGGGTCAGGGAACACTACTGTAGTTTACACTTCGAGGTAAGGGGGTGGGGAGGGTAACAACAGCCTTGTATATCTTCAAGGATGGGACAGACATCCAGAAAGAGGAGAGAACAAAACTCGGGGGGCAGAAAGCCTCTAAATGGGAGATTCTAAAGGTGAGAGCTGATGTAAGGGGAGAGGCCATAAGGAAAGCAACATGAGCCAGAGGCTGCACATAGACCTTTCCTAAGGCAAACATGATTTGCACAGGGGCAGGCATATGCTAATATTTTCATCACTGTAGCCCCCAAGTGTCATGGATAGTTCATTCCAAGTCACAGGCTTTGTCCTAGTACATCACCCCAAGTGTCATGGATAGTTCATTCCAAGTCACAGGCTTTGTCCTAGTAGGAAGAGTGTTCCTCAGTGTGGTGTTGTTCTGACATACCTACAACCAAAGGAGTCCAAAAATGTCTATGGTCATCCTAACTGATTTTGTCTTTTCGTTTCACTCAATCGTTGTCATCAGATGTTTTGGATCAAAGTAAAGCAGAAAATCTAAATAAAGAAGGCAGCACAGTGACTAAATGTAGAGTCAGAGTAAATTCCCCTACATAGAATGACTACAGACATGTTTCACTTACATGATCTTCATGGGTAAAATAGAAATAAAAATGAGCCCATGAATAAAAACACATATGGTGTTCATCATCTGCCTTTATGAGAATCAGCATCGAGAAGCACCACCTTGTTCTACAAAGTTTAAAAGATGCATTTTCCCACCAGATAACCAGCATTGTGTAAGCCAGCACTGGGCCACAGTGTGAGGTTATACAAACAAGAACAGCAGCCTGAGCTGAAATCAGAGCAGTGTGCTCCAAGGAAAAGAGCTTTTACTTTACCCAGAGAGAGGCCTCTGGACTCATTAAAGAGCTGTCTGTGTCCAACCCCAAGCCTCTACAGGAATGTGTGTGTGTGTGTGTGTGTGTGTGTGTGTGTGTGTGTGTTTATGTGTGTGTGTGTGTGTGTGTGTAAATCACATTCAGCTGTAACACCATGTTATAAATGATGCTACATTAAGTGGGTATAATCAAGTGTGGGTAATATTTCTTTCCTTCAATCTTACACAGAGAAAATCAAAACCAGGAAAAAAAGAAAAAAGAACCCTTAACTTGTCTAATGGATTCCAGCTGTTAGAATTATTATTGTAATTAATATGATCAAGTAGCAGAACACTGACTTTGAATTCCTTGCAGTTGTGTGTAATACTGGAGCCAATGCAGGAACTGATGTCAAGACACAAAACCTACAACCTCAGTCCCAGAGACTGCCTGAAGACCTGCCTGTTTCAGAAGTGGCAGCGGATGGTGGCACCGCCAGGTATGATCTCAATTCCTCACCATCTTTGCAAATATGCTCTTAGAAGTTCTGGGGATGAAGGGCTATCAAAAGGAAAAAGATGATGATGATACATTCATCTGGAAGGGTTGGTTACCAAGAGTATTCCAGCCATGATTTGGCATAAACATGTAAAACTCTTTAAAGATATAGTTACTATGTGTATACAGATGTGTCAACATGCTACTACATTGGATATATCTTGATACAGAACAAAAAACAAGTAAATTAATAATCCCTACCATATAGTGCCATGGATCAAATTTTCCCAATAAATCCTTGTCCCATTATTCAAGCCCCAACATTTTTCCTATTTGAATATGTTTTTCTTGAGGAAGTCTAGTTTCCTTCATTTTCTTTACAGCCCCCTGAAATATTTTAAGAATCTTGAAGTTAATAAATAGCATTTATTAAAGACCAGAGACTAAACCATTGGGTGTTCTTACATCTGAGAAGCCCCAATCTCACCAAGGCTAAGACAATAAGAATATCAAGGTGTAAGAGAGACAGGTTGTCATAAGACATGGCAAGCAACTTTGCCAGCAACAGGTTAGAAGTAATACTTTGTTGACACCTTGCATCTTCTGAGGTACCTACAGGTCCTTGCTTCCTTTGCTACAAAGAGAAAAGGTAGGCAGGTTCCCAACCTTTCTAGTGGTAAGAATATTTTTAATTCAATTATGAAAGTGGTACCTGTAGTTTGCTCCTACAGTACTATTAGGGAATTGCAGATATATAATTAGACTGAACAATTAAATAAAAAGCATGTCATAGCTACGTGCAGAAGAAAAAGAGTTTCACAAATTTTGTGCTAGAAATAAATCAAACATTTTCTTTTATTATTATTTTTAGATTACACAAAATGGGGACATTTTAAACAGCTCTCTTTTCAGTGTGTATGCTTAGTTGCCTCATATATATTCTTGCCCTGACGCCCATTCCTCTTCCCTTTTCCCTATACAGCAGAACCCACAAGGCAACCAACAACCAAAAGGAGAAAAAGAAAAAATTCCACGAGCAGCAATTCCAATAGTAGTGCTGGGAATACCACCAACAGTGCCGGCAGCAAGAAGAAGACCCCGGCCGCGAGCCTGAGCCTGTCCAGTCAGGTACCTGTAAGTCTCACTTTGCTTTTAGGCCTGAAGCCTTGCCTTTTCTCATCACCCAACTCAAGGGGCTGGGATTCCTTTATGAACTTAAGAAAAAAAGAAAAAGAGAAGGGTTCTGGGTAGTTTGGCAGTGGGAGGAGGAGCACAGCAGGGACAGGGTGGGATGGGACAAGAGGTAAGAATCCTGCCATGGTAACATCCCCTGCGAAGGAGGAATTAGGAGGGAATATTAAGAGTCCGTGCTGTGATGGGACCTGAATTAAAAAGCCATCAGAGTCACTGACAGGAGATATGGCACTCAAGGTTTAATTAAAGCATCACTTAGCAGCATGCCTGGTGGCATATTAAGGCCTCTCAGCTGCAGCCTTGGAGACCCAATATGCCCCTGGAAACTGGTCCCCTGAGCTCTGGCCCCATACTGTAATTTGCCTGGGTCTTCCCAGCATGGGCCTCCCTGTATTTAAGAGTCAGGAAATTAGCTTGCAGCCACTAGAAATGTAGCTGGGTAAACTTTTCTCTGGTGCATCACTAGCTCATGTAGAGCCAGCCCCTGGTTTGATCTCACATCTTTTGACCCCGGCCTCTTCCATTCATTTCTGGGCCTGGACAAAGGCCACTTGCAAGGAGGGCTGGATATAACCTTGAAAGTGAGTGTTGAAAGTAGCATGAAGAGAGTAGACTGTGAGGCTTTCTTCATCACTGGTTGATTCTTCCCAAACTGAACCTTGGCCTTTCCTGCCTCCAAATTCTCACTGCAGTATAAGACTGTCACTTTCAAATATTCCTCTTCTTATAAACACCTGCTGCTACCACTTGCCATGATTCCTTGAGGGTTCTCTACACATGCTCATGACAGTCACCAGGCATTTGACTCTGTTGAATCCTGACCCTCCCTTGACACTGTGACTTTATAGGTATGCTTCTCCTATGCTGTGGCCTCCTTACCCATCACTCTCACTCTCTATCTGTTGTCCTCACCAGCCTCTTTCTGATCCTGCTTCATCTCTTCCATAAGAGTAAACTTCCATCTGGAAATTCCCCATTTGCAAATGTGCCTCTCTAATCTGCTCCTTGCCCCACTTCTTATTGGTCAGTTCTCTTTAGACAAAATAAACCCAGGGCTCAAGGATTCCTTGAGTCTCTGGAATTCTTCCAGTCTTCCACAAACTGGGGTATGGTTTCCGTGTTCACTGCATTGGAGAGAAGGATATAGTAGAAATAATAGCCACCAGCCAAAGACAGACCATTATAATTTTAAGATCTCTAAGAATTATTATTTCAAGTAATACAATGAGTTTCCAAGCAATCTTTATTTTCAGACTAGACCTTTGCACTCAACTATGCCTGATGGTCAGAGGGAAAAAGTTGGCAGAGAAAATCTTCATTTTTTATTAAGGCATCAAAGAGTTGTACCTGCTCCTTGTTGCACTGGAATGCAGCTGGAGAACAGAGAAAATGTCCCCATCTAAATAAATGGAGTGAAAATGTCCATATACGTAGTTCATGTATTCCTCTAGTCCTGGGCTTAGAAACTAACATTTGTTAGATTCCTCTAGCAAACAAAGAAAATGGAATTAAGAGAATCCTAGAATCACAATGTTGCTACTGTAAAGCATGGATGCTGAAGGAATTTAGGTCTGCCCAAGGAGAATTCTCTAAGATCCTACTGTATGTAATACTTACTGTGCAGGGTACTAACAACCCCAAGATTAAAAACCACTTGAAAAATGAGGCCAAGGATGCCCTGTCATTAAGGAGCTCACTACTTAACTTGGGCATGACCAAGAAGTTCCCTCTTTCATGCCAGCTCACAGAGCACAATGTTGAGGATTCTGGCAGGTACTGTTTGGTAGGCCATCCATTAGTGATGTCTACCATGAGTGTAAAAGTTGAGAGTAAAAGTGTACCTTATATATTTTGGCATATCTGGTCTTGGTGGAATCATTTTCAACTTTAACAAGCCCATAAGTTTTTCTATTTCATGATCCTTCTATCCTCCAAGCCAAGAACTGCATTTGGGTAGAGGATCTCTAACTTGGGGAGTGTTCATAAGTGTTAATTTTGTGTGAGCAAGACACCACTGAATAGAAAGATGCAGTGTCCCTGTACCATGAATTTTAAGGTATTTTCATTAAATAGAACTTGCAGATGACCTACAGATGCAGGGAAGATAATCAAGTTATGAAAATGTGCAGGTTAAGTGTCTTCAGGTTCAATGGATTTTAAACAAGAGTGACCACATCTTTTTAAGCACTTTCTACTGAATCAACATCATCTTATTGTTTGAATAGAAATGATCTGCAGGCATCAGCTGCCTGGTCCAATGAGCACAACTCTGGCCTGCAGAGATTCTGCAGCAACAGTGTATGTGTGTGTGCATGTGTGTGGCAAGGACTAGGGTTTAATCCTTGGATTCTGCTTCTCGCTTCATGAGCAGGGGCTAGGAGCCATCCCGAACTGCAGCCTCAACCCTGGGAGGGATGGAGACCTGTGTCATTCAACAGCAGTGACCCCTTCTGGCCAATTTAAGGAGAAGCATTGAGGGGCCCTGAAAGGAGTCACTTCCAGTCCTCCTCAGAGGTTGGTGGTCCTTGCACGGGGTATTAGTGAGAAGGTGTGAAATGGGCAAAAACCAGTGGCACCTCTAAGCTCCCAGCTCAGGAGCAGAGGTTAACCTCATGGGGAACCAAGGGTATGTGGGCTACTCTCAGATGGATTCCTGGGGCCCCTAGTGGGTCACCAAGGCTGGACATGGGAAGGAAAGTCATTCTCATTACTGAAGTGGGATTTCCTTGGGGGTGGGAACCTGCATTTCATATCCCCTAGCTAGCAGCAGCCTGGAATGTACAATGTATCTCCACTTACCATGTGTGAAGGTAACAAGTAGAGACAGCCGGAGCAGAGCATTGCTGTACTTCTGTAAAGGTGTGAAAGGAACCAAATAGAAACGTTCACAGAACTCTGTAAATGGCCTCAAGTATCAGGTGCATCTAAAGCCTAACGTTCTTTTTATAGCTAGCTACCTGTCAGTCAGATAAGTCACACACACACACACACACACACACACACACACACACACACACACACACACAAACAACAGAGAGAGAGACAGAGAGATAGTTATGCTTCTAATTAAGAATGTTTTGAGAATAACCAATTAAGCCAATGTAGCAGCTCTCTGAAACTTAGAACGTTTACAAGTACCTATGCCTGGGCACATTTTCCAGCTATTTCTAGTGTGTGGGGGTGAGATGGGGTTCTCCACATATTACAAGCCTGTGCTAGAGCCCCACTGGAGTGACTCAAACCACTACATGCCTATTGTTTTTTTCTTGCATGAATGTCATTTTCTAATGCAGAGAACACATCTGCAATGCTGGGGACTTTCCTTCTAAAGTCACACTTAAGTCAGCCACTTCTTCCATTTCCCCTCTGCTTTTCAAACCACCCTTCACTTCTTCATACTCTTTCAGCTTCTCTCAGAGGCCTTGGAATCACAATACTAACACAGACCCACGTGGTTGGTTCTATGGCCCTCTCCTGCTCGGTGACACACAATGCATGTTCCCTATGTCCTTCCAAGTGTGTTCATTAATCCTCATGCTGTGCTCTGTCAATCTTTCCCTCCCTATTCTTTCTATCTCCTTCTATTCTTCATCATAAGTACAGCCTCCTAATTGCCTGTACCTAAAGTGACACTTTTTATCCACAAAACCCTGTGAGTAAAACGGTAGCCTCTCAGCTAACTGAATAATGTTCACAAGTCTGTGCGGTGTCTACATTCCATCTAAAACCATGTGGTGGATCTTCCCAGTCAGAAAGACAGTGTCTATTTTGCATCTCATCTTAAGAGTCCTCATGAGTCTCTTTACATGTCAGTGTCATTTCTGGCTCTTCATTGCCTAGTAAACACTTTCTTGGAAGCACCCAGTTCAATATCTGGTCAGTACCCTTAGTAGTACCTTTATTACTGAGTTAACCAAGCACACATTTTATGTATTTAGTCTACCTGGGCAATTTTTCCTTAAAACCTACCTGTTTGTTAGAATGACTAGTCAGAAAACATAGTGTAGAAACCTATTTATCATCTGATCCAAATAAAGAAGGGGGCAAGGAAGGAACAAACAAAACAGGGTTTTCTATCCCCAATAAGTGAGGTACTAATTAAGGAGTCTGTTCAGTGGACACCTTCATAGTTCTAAATGGTATATCAGAGAATTCTGCTCCCTTCTGCAGAGGCTAGACAAAGCTTCCCAGAGTTAAAAAAAAATGCCCAGTGGTCAAACATTTTACTGAATTAACTTCCCTGTGAAGAGCTGTGCACCCATCACTCCTATACAGATGGCCTAGAAAGACTATTTGCTGTTTCCTAGAGGCTGAGAGCAACTCACCCTCCTCAATCCCTGAACCTTTAAGGAAGTGCTGCTAAGATTCTACCCAGAAGAATCTACCTGACAGATAGCCTGCCCCAGACCTGGATCACCATCCTCATATAATTCCCTTTAAACAAAGAAGCTGGAGCTGTGTTTTATGTGTATCCCTGCTCCTTCCCCTACCTCTACCCCGGTCCAGGCTTTTCCAGCTGTGGCTTCTACAGGAGCTCCCAGCTACAGTAGGTGTCTTTCTTGTTTGCATGGAAGGACAATTTGTACTTAAAGGAGTGATTACTTGGATTCTTCTTGCACACCCCCATCCCTGATGACTACCAGCTCCATTGGTGTAATTATAATTAGCTTGCTCTTCATCTTTCTTTTATGGTACCAGCTGGACAGACTGGTTCTCTTTACTGCCCAGATTGGTAGCAGGGTTGCCTGTGTGGAGATAGGTGACAGGCACCATGAAATAACAGATGGTAAATTCAGGGCTTGTTGGCAATCAGCAGGTTTTTGCTAATGACTTAATTAGCTATGCAAATTGTCAAATCAGTGTGAACATTGTTTTTATCGAAAACTTTACCTAAATTAATTACCATAATTAAGTAGCAGAATGTCAAGGATATTGGCTGCATAAAAGGACCTGGCAGAGTAGAGAAGAGAGGGATTCTGTCTTCAATTAAAATGTATATCATCCTGGGGACAGAGTAAATACCATTTGGAAGGAGTTGTGTGGGTATTGCAGAAAGGTACCTTACCTACCCATGTGTCCCAGCTCTCGCAAGTTGACAGGGCCACTCACAAGCCCTCAGTGAAGGTGGCGATTTTTGGAAGTATTGCCAAAAAATGTTCTATAGCCCTCTCAAAAGTGCCCCGGGTCAGCAAGTTCAAAGCGTGGATTTTTTTTAATTTTGAAAAATCCATTTTTTTATTTCTGCAGATTGCTAGCATTGCTCGTTCTCCGGTGTCAGGCTGCGCACTAAGGACATAAACTCGCGTGGTTGTTACACATCAGGAGGCGATGTTTATTTCCTGTAGAAATCCAATATGCGTCTCGGCCCCCCCGACATTGAGACTTGACCCGGTTGTACAGCGCACACGAGTGTGTCTGTCCTAGGTCCCCCGAGCTCCTCCCACTGTTGTTTTAAGCTGAGCTTCTCTCCCCTAAGGTTTCCCTGTAATAATGTCAGCTGCTGTTCACAGGATGTGATGGTGGTAGGAGAGCCAACTCTGATGGGAGGTGAGTTTGGGGACGAGGACGAAAGGCTAATCACTAGATTAGAAAACACGCAGTATGATGCGGCCAACGGCATGGACGACGAGGAAGACTTCAACAATTCACCTGCCCTGGGGAACAACAGCCCGTGGAACAGTAAACCTCCCGCCACGCAAGAGACCAAATCAGAAAACCCCCCACCCCAGGCTTCCCAATAAAATGGGCTGCCCAGCACCTGATTCCACTGTCCATAGGCCCAGTGGGGAAGAATTCCAGTCACAAATCTCTACTATCAGGACAGGAAAGAGGTGAAATTTAAAACACACAAACAAAACGTTTCCATGCAAACATCTATTTCTAAACATAATGACCTGATTTTCTTTCTTGCAATTTTTTTTCCCCTCTTTAATTGAGAGGATTGTTCAAATGAGCCTTCGTGGCCTCTCTTTGGAGGCCTTTCCCTGAAGGTAATTAGAAGCAGCGGAGGCTATCGCACCTCCTGGCACGGTCTTACCTCCTCCCTCTTTGTGTTGAACTTCCTGTCCATGCACCCAGCGAAGGCCATGCTATCCGAACGTGCTCAGGGTCACAGTAACACACCGACCCCCCAGCTACAGACGTCTTTTTAATATTGTAAAATATTTTCTGCTTTTTGACTTGCATTTGGGAGTTTCTTGTTTCAGTAAAAAAAAAAAAAAGAAGAAGAAGAAGAAAAGAAAAAATTGTTTTGAGAAAGTAATTTAAATGTACCTTCACACACACACCCTTCACTTTCCATTGGTTTTCCATTTGGCAAGAGCCCAAGAAGAGACAGCTAGGTGACTTTCTGGCAAGCTGATCCTAATTGGTTCTTGAGTCTGAGTTGTTTCAATTTAGGCCAAGTACTGAAACAAGGAATCATCAAAGATATATGGGTAGATTTTATTATGTACACAAAGACAAATGGACCCTGGGAAATGTATGCACCTGTGAACTTGCTGTGGGTCCAAATATTTTCAAGCCATGTAATCCATTAATTTTGTGGAAAGCTTAATAAATCTGAAACTTTTTGTATTTCTTCTTTTTTTAATTGTATCTGAGTTGATTGAGTTTTGGTGTTTTGTTTTTATTTTTCATGCTATATTTCTTGTATAATATTTTGTAAATCCTTCACCTGGTTCTTTCATGGGGGCCTTTCTTTTGGGGCAAGTTCAGTGTATTTATGTGAAACTTTATAAGAGAACTAATTTTTCCATTTGCATATTAATATGTTCCTCTATACATGTAAAGATACCATGGCTCCGTGTGTCATAAGACAGCTGTATTTTATGTATGCTTTACTGGTAAGTGTGCCAATAATAAACTGTGTTAATGACCAAAGTAACAGAATCTGGCTGTTGGTGTGAGTACCTGTGAATCCATCTGCTCACAATTATGAGAAGTGTCAAGACTGCATTTACTATCCAGACATCAAATCAAGTGGTATTATAACACCCATGTGAAGCAGGCTCACCACCTACCTTCTCTGTGATAGAATACATTCATAGGCAGCAAGTCATATAAAAATGGATTGGTTACCTACAAATGGGCAGCAAGAAAAGATAAGGCCCTAAGAGTCATAGCAGCTGATCCTCCTAGGCTCAGGAATACTACTAGAGCAGGCAGGGTATTGGCTGCGCATGTTCCTGACAGATCCTGGAAAGCACACCTCCTACTACATCCTGGGTCACTGAAACACTGGGCCAATGTGCAGAAGGGTGTCTTTGTCTATTTTGTGTTTCTATAGCAGAATACCACAGCCTGGAAGATTTATAAAGAGAAGACATTTTCTTATCAACACTGATGCTTGGAAGTCTAACACCAAGGTGCAATGGCCTAGCAAGGGCCTTCTTGTGTCACCCCAAAGCAGAAGATGAGGGGGTACAGGTCAATGGAGGGAGAAGGAGGAGGAAGTGACATTATCTTTATGAGAAGCTTACTCCCAGGGTGGCTAACCCACTCCTGTGATAATAGCATATATAATTCATGGGAGCAAAATTAATAACATTATCACACATTTTTAACATCATATTTTTATTTTTTGAGAACGTCATGAGATATATTTTAATTCTATTTACCCCAGCTCCTCCCAGGTCCACTCCCTCAACTTGTGACCCCCTCCCAATTCCATATCCTCTTTTTTTTTCATTTTAATAATCCAGTAATTCCAATTGGTGCTGTCCATATACTCTTGAGTGTGGGTTCATCCACTGAAGGAAGGTCCAGCCACCAGGGACCATACCCTTAAAATACTAGAAGCTATCAGCTATCAATAACTCCTCAGTTAGGGGTGAAGGGTGACGTGACCCTGCCTGCTTCCTGCTAGGATGCTGAATGGCTTGATGTTGTGTACACAACCATAGCTGCTGAGTTCATGAGTGCAGCTGACATTGTTACATCTTAAAAGTCCCACCCCTCAACACACTGCACTACTGATTAAGCTTCTAATATGTGGAGTTTGGGAGATACACTGAAACCACAGCAGAGGGCACCTTGTTGCTGGGGCAGTAGGCTAGTATGGAGCATGGAGCCTCTAGCCTCTTTCCTCTCTCTGCTTAGCTCAGGATGCTGTGTTTCTAACATGTTCTACAGTTACTCTTCAGCTCTATGGGTGAGAAGTAGGATAAGCTCAGACTAGTGTCTACCCAGTGCTGAAGACAGGCTGTCCTGTAGCCTGGGCATCTCTTTGAAGTGTGGTTCTTTTGCAAAAGGAACCTATTCACTATGGTTTTGCAGCAGATATACCATGGCCTCTCTACTGAACTCCATTCTGAGGACAGACTGGGAAAGCAGAGAACGATCCATGTTTGTCACCAAATGAAGAGGCAGTTGGTCCCCTACTGAGAGTTTCTTCTAGAGAACTCACATACACCACTGTCACTGCTCCTAGTTTCATACAAAAAGCATGAATATTAATAGCCCCACTTTTAAAAGTCGATGTCCTTCAACTACTTTTTTGTCTTCATATCCTGAATATAGACAATTCACTTGAGTACCTTTTATGTTTAAAGAAATTCGTCATATTTCCCCACTTTATAGCAATAAGGAGGAGAGGAGAGTGGTTACCATTTGTTGATCATCTTGGATACACTTGTGCTAGACAATTTCAGCTTTGCTTCGAAGCACAGTTTGGACCTCAAAGAGGAAATCTAAAAGAAAGGATCATAAGTTAGGGTTCCCAGAAGCAGAGTCTGAGAGTGGAATTTGAGAACATGGGATTTAAGAAGGGAATTTTGTTTGAAGACCAACCAAGCAGGGAAAGGAAAAGGCAGGCTAAATAAGGAGGTGCAGCAAGGAAAGCTGTGAACCTCCAAAATCAATAATCACAGGCTGTTCCAGAGTGATTCCTCCTGTGCTATACATCAGCATTTGTACACCTGTATCAATCCATCACTGGCTGGGGACCATGCCCAAGGTGAGTGAGAGTGCCAGACCTTAGAAGCAAGAAGGCTTCTGTCATGTGAGGGCTAAATCTGTGAAGAAGGGGCCAACTAGATGGCAAGAGTCAGAGCATCTTGAGTTTTGTAAAGGACATCTGGGCAGACGCATGGTCTGTTAAGTGAACTGGCCCTGGTGGTATGCAATGTAGATGACAGTTGAGATTTGAACCTGGATGTTCCTAGACCTTAAAATGTGGGTGTTCTCTAGAGTATCACATTGTTTTGCAACAAGGAAACTGTAAGTACAGTAGCAAAAGAATCCCGCCTCCCCAAAAAACACAAAACATCTGGAAACAGCTGCTTTATTGACTCTCCATTGGTAAGCTGCTGAAAGAGACCTCCAATTTCTTCTCCCTTGCCATTTTAGATTTTCATTCTTCAGTTCTAGAAGATCACTCATATATTTAGTCTTTATGTAGTGTTTGCTTATGATGCGTCAGAAAATTTAACTCTGTTACCTATTGTTGCATAGAAAGTCCATTGAAAATACAATGTCTCAAGAGAAGAATTTATTAAGACATTTTACCCCTTGGAGAAGAGGGCTCTACTGAGAAGTTTGCACTTAAGAATACTAAGTGCCTATTGCAACCAGAGACTTGGCTAGTCTGGGTCTCCATCACTAATGGAGTACTTAGTGATAGGACCAGTTAGGAGCTCAGCCAGAGATGTTAACTTGGTGTACCATCTCAATGGGGACAAGGATCATGTTGAGACATACAGGGTGGGAAAAGTCAATTTTCTCCAGTGGGGCTGAGAGAACAGGTAGAGGTTTTGGGTTTCTCTGGGTGATCTGTCTGAGCCAGAAGTATTCATGTTCTCAATAAGAGGTACAGTTCTTAAGCCTGAGTGGTGGATCTCACACTAGAGAAGACACTGGTCAATATGTCCATCTTCATCCACAAAACCCTCATTGAAACATTTTAGCATGCACTTCAACTGTGTCTTGGAACTATTTACTCCCCTCCTGTTTTAGAACTGCTTCACCAATCAACAGTGTTCTTGTGCAGAAGATACAATAGGCAGACTTCAACTCCGCTCTGGAGGGGATAAATCAGGCAACTTTCTGTAGTTTCCTATTTATGGTGGGGATGTCGGGAGCCTCTGGGTCAACTTGAGCAGAGGTGGGAGAAGTTCCTGAGGTGCTGCAGAGTGAGCACCCTCTAGCATCTGTCTGTTCCCCCACACTATCATCCCAGGAGATTGAGGTTCCTGGTGTCCCACTATCTCAGTCTCTGGAAATCTTGTAGAGGCCTCCAGAACATTGTGAGCTAACTTTACCAGAGAATATACATGGGCATTCTTAAAGCCTAATAGAAAGACTATATTCTGGATTGCTGCTGCATGGGGAACAAATCATGCAGCCCCAAGCTTTACCATTCTTTGTCTTTTATGCACAAAAAAAACCCCATCATAGTTGACACAGTTCAGTTAGTAAGAACAGTTAGCAAGAAGCTAAACTATAAAAGCCAAGAAACAATATTACTGTATTTGGGGACTTTCCTAGATCCTGGAACTATGGACCAGGTATTTGATGGATTAGATCTTTGTTCCTGTTATGGCAAGTGTTGGTGTCTATGTGCTGAATTCTAAGGTCAAAATGGTGCTTCCGACACAGTTTCAGTTGTGCTAAGGTATGGACACCTGTTCCAATTCCACTTCCCAGATATAACCATTACCAAAACTTCAATAAATAACCTTCTAGCTTTTCTTCTTGGCTCAAATACATTATCGTACTGGCCAGATATAGAATTAACAGTCAC